AGACTCGAAACACGTAACTCCTCTTATGTGCAATATAAATTTACGCTACATACAAATCTTGCACATGAACGATGATGAATTGAGAAACGTCTAATGAGTTGTAACTATATATAATAACTAATGATGAGTATCCTTTTAAGTTTAAGCTTTAAGATGATACGATTATTTAACAAGTTGCAAACCTGTATAACATGTAATTAATGATACATTCTTTGTCATAGGTGACCAAGTTCAAATGTGGAGGCTTTGTTCTCGGATTGTGCATGAATCACTGTATGTTCGACGGGATTGGCGCGATGGAATTCGTCAATTCTTGGGGCCAAACGGCGCGGGGAATTCCCCCGAAGGTGCCGCCGTTTATGGACAGAAGCATCCTCAAAGCGAGAAATCCGCCAAAGTTGGAATACCCTCACCACGAGTTCGCCGAGATTGACGACATTTCGAATACTTGGCAGCTCTACAAAGACGAAGACATGCTTTTCAAGTCCTTCTGCTTCGACCCCAACAAGCTCGACCGCCTCCGAAAAACAGCCCTCAAAGACGATCATCGTCTCCAAAAGTGCACAACCTTCGAAGCCCTCTCGGCATTCGTGTGGCGCGCTCGCACGCAAGCATTAAACCTGAAGCCCGATCAGCAGACCAAACTCCTCTTCGCCGTCGACGGACGGTCCCGATTCAATCCCCCGATCCCCGACAAGTACTTCGGCAATGCGATTGTGCTGACCAACTCGCTCTGCGCCGCGGGCGAGTTGACGGAGAATGAGCTGTCGTTCGCCGTGAAACTTGTTCAGGAGGCGGTGGGAATGGTGGACGACGGATATATGAGGTCGGCTATCGATTACTTCGAGGCGACTCGCGCGAGGCCGTCTCTGACGGCGACGCTGCTCATCACGACGTGGTCGAGGCTGTCTTTCCACACGACGGATTTTGGTTGGGGAGAGCCGACGCTGTCGGGGCCGGTGGCCTTGCCGGAGAAGGAGGTGGTGCTGTTTCTTTCTCATGGGAAGGAAAGGAAGAGCATCAACGTGCTTCTGGGATTGCCGGCCCCTGCGATGGACAGATTTGAACAGCTCGTCGACACCATATAGCCATGAATAAAATGAGCCTTTTCTTGCATTAATTATTGTCTATTTATTTCCAATTCTCATATTTGTGATTTGTTCTTTGTTTGTTTGTTTTTCTGTGGGTTTACTGTTTTTGTTGGTCGCTATTACTGCTCGTCTTGATGTTGGTGTTTAATGCCAGTGGCGGTACCTCATTCTGTTCAGCTGAATTAATACAGATAATGCAGTCACTTCGTACGTTCGATATTATGACATCAGTTACCAATGACTACATCGTATGCTTGCTACAATATATTTGAATTTATGGAAAAAATAAGAAATGGTTCAATTGAGACCAAAATCCATTCATTTTAGTTTCGCTACGAATAATTTTCAATATTTTTTGTCTCATTGTTAAAAACCTAACGGTAAATGTTTCCGAGGACATAAAAAATTGTGACATGGCAACTGATTTGAATCAAATATGGTCGTGTTCAACCAGATGCAACGGTGTATAAGCAGTTAGAATCGAAATATTACAAAAAAAACATGACCGTGTTCATATTACAACACATTATGTGTTCCCACATGGCCGTCTTCTCATAAATACACGGCGGTATGGGTAAAAAATTAACACGTTTAATAGTTGGCCATATTAAAACACGGGAGTGTTATGTTAAGCACGGCCATATTGCACGAAACATGGGTATGTTTCTTGAAACTTGACTGTGGTTTGTTGAATATATGGCCAATTTTCGTTTTGTAACACGATTGTGTTACTATTTGACACGGTCGTGTTTTTATATGTAAACATGGCCGCATTTGTTTATTTAATTTTCAGCCGTGTTTATACACGGTCATGTATTGATCTAACATAATCATATTCTATTATATTTTCTTTTATATAAAAGAACCTTTGGTCTCCAAACCAGTCATTATATGTTCTTAGTTTTTATGCTTATTTCCACCCATTCATAGTACGAAAAAACTTATACTTTTGGTCTCCACGTTGCAAAAAAATTTTAGTTTTATTAACAAGATCCATCTTTATATCTTTTGGGAGGGATTATCATACTTCATTTTTTTTTTTTCCAATTGAGTGTTATTTGCTTTGGTGATTGATTGGTTGGGGTATTTATTCGGAATTTTTGCACCTAAAGACTGTGTTGAGAATGTGGGGGTAAAGTTTGGTAAGCGAAAGCGGGGAAAAATCACCAGCCAGCTAGCTGTGAGCATAAAAAACACTGCACGCACCCGAAGAAATTTTAGTATATTGATTGAGTTGAGCTCCCTTTCTATGTGGATAATAATGCATAAATTTTGGTGAAAAACCGAAGATTCTCATCTATTTGAAGCCATGAGGGTCATATAGTTCGAGATAGACTAAACATGTTTTTTACTTTTCCTTTTTATTTGTGGTGGGAGGGGGTGGGGATTTCATATTTCATTTTCTCGATTGCAAATTTGTTTTGGTGATTGAGCGGCTGTTGCAGTATTATTGTCTGATTTCTTGAAATTCTCTTGTGTCTTGTTTGGAAGCTGTTCTCTTTTGGTTAGACCATCTAAGTTTTTTCCTTTGTTCTTGAAGGATTTTCGATGGTAAAAATATTATCTCTTGCATTGTCTAATTTCCCATTCAATTCATTATTAGTCCTTTGTTCAGAATTTGGCAAAATATGATTGCGTAATCCTATGGGAGTGGAATTGGAGTTTGGTTTAAATTATTGGTCTATTGACTTGCTTGAATGATCGATGATAATATAAAGAGGGTCATTGGTCTTAATTGAAGTAATTGTTATTTATTGAAAAGATAGATGAGAGATCTATTATTTGGGATAAATATGCATTTTCTAGTCTTTTCTACTTAAAAGTTGAAATTTATGGATGATGAAAGTTTGAGTTTTCTATTTCGACATGTTTGTGGATTTGATAATTTGTAGATAATAATGTCTATAACTACATTCCTATTGACATAAATGATAGAAGATTGTGTGAGAATATTAATCCATCTATGTGATAACGAAAATATAATACATATTTTCTCATTGTAAAGTATATGATGATATTGAATTTGATCATATACACCTAATAATTTTTATAAGTGATAATTTTTTACTACATTTATGCTTAACTGAGCCAAACTACTAAGTAAATATGTTTTTACTCATTTTTTGATTAATTTATTATGTCTTTGTATATTTAAGTATATTCAATCATGTGCTATGAAGAATTGAGCTTGCATGGGAAAGTCTGATAAAATCGAGCTTTGGGGTAGCATTGTCAAAGTTGTGATAATTGTGACCGCGTTTGTACAAAATATAACAATACTGACCTGGATTTTCCTCCGATCGTTTTTTTTTTTTGTTTTTAATAAAAATTTTAATTATATATCATAAAAGAGAGATTATGTAAATTACACCCTTAACCTTACAAACCAAACACAACCGAATAAATTAAAATCAAGAGAGGATAGGAGGCCCATGTTGTAGGCCCAAATCCAGAAGGAAAAGCCCAAAAGTGCTCCTTAGGCAAACAAGATTTCAGCTCCTAGCAGCCCAAAATAAAGTCAATCCAATATGTGCATGAAAACCATAGACAAGGCTGGACTGATCCCGTCACCGTCACCATCACCATCACCATCACCATCACCATCCACGTAGTGAGCAGCAAAAACACCGATCAGCCATAACCAGGGAAACTGCAACACAAGCACAACAACCACCTAACCGATCGAAAATCACATAGACCATGGAATCAATTCAAATCAATCAATAACTCAAACCTATCCTCCATCTACGCTCACCAAAACAGACTGCATCCTCCAGAGAGAACATCAAAGGGCTTAAAATTCTGCTCACTTCTATAATTCACCAAATATATCTATAGCAGACAACTCCTGATTCAACAAAATTCCCGTTACTCACAGCCACTGTCAAGAACCAACACCTCGAAAAACCGAAAGATAGAGCACAACCTGAAGGAGAAGAAAAGTTAAACATCACCCCTTAACAATATCACACCGTAACCAATCAAAACAACTCCAACATAGCCAGGATAATAAAAGATCAGAACCCACAGCCAAAAATAATAAAATAAAAAAAAGACTGGAATAAAACCTGGCGAGATAGTTTAGATAAAGTATGGATAAAGTATAAGCTTTGTTTAGATAGAGGTTTTTGGAATTTTAAAAATTTGGAAAAAAAAAAAAATTAGTATTGATTTGATGTTTTGTGACAGAAAAAGTGTATTTGATGTATATTTTTTTGAAAAATAAAAAGTACCGAATAATTGAAAGTGTAATGCGTAAAGAAGGCTTTATATGAGTTTTTATTTTATTTAATTTTAATTTTAACTTTTTTTTTTTTAGAAAAATGAGGTTTTTGATTTGGAGGAGTTGAAACAGAGCTAGGAGAACAAGGAGTAGAAAGCGTGTAAAGGGAACTACACGATAAGAGAGTTTTATTCCGGACAGTATTAACAGAACATTGCTTCAGAAGAGAGAGATTAAGTTGATCTTTGGGTAGAACATATAATATTTATTTTGATTGGAAATGGGTAGAAGTTATTTTGGATTAGGTATGGGGTGATGTTCAAAGTTGTTCGATCCCAATCGCATTCAATTAAGGTTTGGATTCCCAGGAGGAAGCTGGGAAGATCAAGATGGGAGATCTACTTGAGGGAGTAAATCAACTCTATCTTCAGCGAATTAATAAGTCTGCAATATTTCAAGAATTCAGTGATGGTCTAATTGGCTTTCATCGGCATCTTTGCCAACGTGTTTATCTTTCTTACATTTAGTGCTCTTAATAACTTTAGAATCAGAAATAAAATGTCCCGAGTCAATGGAAGTGGCTGAATCCGAAAGATAAGCTAAATACTCATCCAGACTCTTCTGAACGGAGTACCATGAGCCATAATAGGCATAATAACCATAATAACCTCATCCAATCTATTGAATGCAATACAGCAGTTCCGAGTTGAAGGAAGAGGCTTTGAGACCGAGGGAGCCATCAGAAAGGGAAGACAACTTTCATCAAGAATTGAATTGGAAAAAGATTTGAATATCCCAAATAATATGAGTCCGAGTGATTTTCCTGAGAAGAAGACTCAGATTCTGAGTTCTCCGATTCCACATTTGAGCATTCCAAAATAACAGGATGTTTCTGTCTGCGAAACCTCACAGTAGGGTGATGATGAGAAGAGAGGGAGGAGATGATGACGTCCAAGGCTTTGAATAATGAAGGTGGTTGGTATTTTTCTTTGCATTAATAAAATGGCGAAGATCTTCTGGCTCTTTACTTCTCCCCGAATCTTTCTCATGCTCTGGAATCACCTGTACATTTCCCATTGTCTTTCAATGAAATTGGACCTGAGGTAACAAAATCACAAGTTTTAGCCTTACCATTTGAATACATGCATTGGGAAGCCTTTAAGATACCAAACTCTTTTAGACCTCAAGCGACAATAATCATCATAGTTGGAGAGTTCATCCTTCGGATTGTGTGTTGGCCAACAAGCTTGAGACTTCAAAAAACAAGATAAGCTCTTCCCATCATGAATAACCGTGAGAATATTTCTGTACGAGAGTCCGAGACAAGTTTTGATATTTCTTCTCTTGAAAATTTCTACCTGATGCGATCATTCACCATTGTAGACGATCCATAACAGTCTGAAAATTCAAAACCAGCACATGTTTGAGTATAGTGAAATCGTAGAAGGTAATTTCCACTATTCCGCGATTGAGGAAGAGAGAAAATCCATATTTGCATATGCTAGAATGAGCGGCTGAGAATCATTTTTCCAGCTGGCAAATTGTAACCATCAACCTTCTAGAAGCTCTGCCAGCATCAATAAATAGGGGTCGATTTGTATTATTGTAGCAATTCCACTTTTTGCAAAATGTGATTGCTTTAGAGGAGCTTAACCTGTAAGAGCTTTAAGACGTCTAGCGTGGGTGGTTGATAGCACTCATGACAGGAGTCACGTGCTCGCCACCCATCTCATTTATTTTCTACACTTATATAATTTTACCGCTTTCATAGTGTAATTGTGAACTTCAATTCTCGGTGATAAATGAAATATCATTATTCTCCATCCCGGCAACACACATGGATGGCATATGAATAAGATAATTGTTTTGCAAAAGTACCTTGCGTAAACTTTGGCTACAATGCAAATATTAATCACCTAACCTAATCTAGTTAAAATGTTCCAAAAGGACTTAGAATAAAAAGCAAAGGTAGGTAGTAAACTAATGTTTTGATACTTAAATATTTTATAGTAATTTATAGAAAGTGTACAATATCGCATTAAGCAATAAATCGGTAAGTATTCCGAATCGAATCCACAGGGAATTTAATTTATTCATTTACATTATGAAAATTTTATGTCATTTAAAGATTAATTCATTTTTTTTTGTTAAAATGGATAAATGTTCATTTGACAATTCTAATTCCTAAATTACAAAAATTTAATAAAAGTACATAAATTTAAAAATAAAAATAAAATTGAAGATTGCATAACTTGCTCAAATAAAATGAAATCTAAAATTTAATTTTTTAATGGTTCAGATTTCTTCAACAAATTTTAATGTCATCATGAAACTTTAAATTTAATATGATTTATGCATTTCAATCTTCCGACATGAAAGCAATTAAGTCAAACAGTATAAATTCGCATCCTATAAATGGTACTAGCTAAACCATAAATAAAAGTTCATTTTACTTGAGAATAAAACCATTAAAATTTATGAATTACATCAACCGATCAAATCATCGTTCTATCCAAAGTAAAATAAAACATATGTAGGAATTTAGTACAAATTAGAAATATTAAAAAAAATTCGGCAACCAAGATTCAAAAATTAAAATTCATATTAATCACACCAATTCAATATGCTCTTATTCATGAATATAATTTCTTAATTGTGTTTTCTATCTTTCCCAAGATTATTGATAGTCAGAAATCACATGCGTTAAATATTAATATTATTTGCTATATTTAGATTGGATTCTATCTGATTTGTGCAGATATTGTTTATTTATGTAATAAAATGGTAGATTTGGAAGGAAAAGAGTACAAAAATGTACAATGACCTGAATAATTGATTAAAAGGCCAAAAGCCCAATTGTTACCAAATAAGAGCAAACATAAAAAGAAAGAAGGAGGCTAGGTGCCACTTGACATGCTGGCAAGGAGAGAGCACAATCCAAAACAGTCACAGGAGGAAATCGTGCAACGGAAAGAAGGAGAAGATTCTTTCAAGGAGATTTCGAGTTCTTCCAAGTCAATTCGATTATTCTCAGGCGATGTTTATTTTTGTTATCTTTGTTATTCCTCTTTGGTATAGATTTGTGAGATTAGACTTTGTTTTTATTGATATTAGTTCTTGGTCCTGAGTATTTATGTGATTTCTAATTCTAATGTTTAATAATCTTTGATTTAGTTAGGTATTATGGTCAGGTATTTCAATTAGATTAAATATTAATTGCTAAACTAAATTAGATGTCCGTAATTGCGTTTTAATTTGGTTCAAGTAGCAACCAGGGGTTTTGTGGCCAGGTATTTCAATTAGATTAAAGATTAATTGCTAAACTAAATTAGGTGTCCGTAATTGCGTTTTAATTTGGTTCAAGTAGCAACTAGGGGTTTTGTGGCCAGGTATTTCAATTAGATTAAAGATTAATTACTAAACTTAATTAGACATTCGTAATTGCATTTTAATTTGGTTCAAGTAGCAACTAGGGGCATGCACCACATGCACCACTAGAAAATCATAAAATCAATTTTAAACAATTCACACAGGTAATTCACTACAAGAAAAATTACAAATTACTACGGAAAAATTTCTATCACAACTGACAAAAATTCCGTCACAACTTCTAATTGCAACGGAATTTGCATCCAAATGAAAATTGTAGTAAATATTATTGTAGTAATCCGGAGTGACAACTAAGATTTTTCCGTCGCAGAACATTGCAATAGAATTAGTGATTGTCGCTTTCGTCGCAATGTTTTGCTACAGAATTTTACTACAGAAATGTAATACTAATGTAGTGTATTGCAAGAGAAATGAATTGTTGTTAATTCCTTTGCAATTTTTGCGAGAGAATATAAATATTGTTAATTCCGTTGCAATTTTTGCGAGGAAATATGACTATTGCTAATTCTGTTGCAATTTTTGCGAGAGAATATAAATATTGTTACTGACTATTGCTAATTCTGTTGCAATTTTTGTAGTTATTCACTTTATTTTTGCTTTTTTTTTTTTTTTCATTTTTCCAAAATCTATATAATAAATATTAATTCAATCTTCCACGACCAATCCAATTTTCCAAAACCAATATCACTAAAATCATATAGAATTTTTTCAAACCTAAACAATGTCTGATATACCACAAATACAATGTATTTACTATTAGTACCACAAGTAGCAAATATAAAAAAATGTATAAATTACTTCGAGTTGCCATAATATTATACAAAAACAACTAAAGTCTTAATTAGAAAAATATATAATAATAAAACACTATAATACTGGAGCACTACTATCATATGAATCGGGGTCAGGCCTAATGGATGGTGCCCCCATATGCCGTAATTGCTCAATAATTGTCTAGTTCAAATAGTATATACCTCGTTGTTGGTTCTTCGTATTTGTAAGACATTGCTGCATCATTAAAAGTTGTCATTATAAAAATATATATAGTAAAAAGTAAAAATATATTAATATTGCATACAAAATATTATACAAGAAACTTAATTTTTAATTCAAGGTCCCATATAAGAAATATTTCAAGGTAAAAGCACAATCCCTCCTCAAAAAAAAAAAAAACAAAAAAAAAAAAAAAACAAAAAATAAAGGAAAAACTCATAATTTATGTCATATTATAATATTCTTTTTCATATTTTTGTTTCAATTTATTGTTTTTTATGAAAAAAGAATAAACTTACATTAAGTTTAATGCATAAAAAATATATAGACATAATTTTGTAAAATAAGGTATGCAAAAATACCTCAATAGTTATTCCAGTGCAAAAAGAAGTTTGATTCATTCTTCTTAAATAAAACAATTTCATAGTTAATCTGTTGGATTTGAGCATAGGCAAAATGGAAACTTCACCGGCATTTTCAAGGCTGCAAGGTCATCCAGAAAGACTATAGTGTGAGTATAATATAAAAATTTACTCAGAATTAACATTTGTAAAAGGTTCAAAAAATATATGATATAAAACATATAAAAAATGATTAATTTATAAAGTTTTCATTACACTAGAAGAATGTAACTTTTATTTATCACAAGCAACATTGAGCATATGGATGTATAAATGGCTTGAATATACTTTATAAATAAAAGAAATCATAAACATACATAGCTGAATTTTGCTTAGTTTAAAAGACGTGTATCCTTAAGGGTTGAATGTTTCTTAATAGTATGTAGTATTGATATATATACGCATACATTTTTAAAATGTGGTGTGTGAGATAGCATTTTTAGGATTTAAATATGAATATATATTTTCTTTAGATGTATGTGTATATGCATTTATTTAAGGGGAGAAAGATACATATGTTAACTGTTCAAAGGAATTCCACACAAATATATGTATATATATGTGAACCTTACAGTCGATTCTCAATTCTGACATTATATAGACTATATTATTTGCATGTACAAAGAATATACACCTCAAAATTATTCTATATCAATTGCATATAGCTAAGAATGGAAACATGAAGGTATCATGTTTTACTTATTTGAACAAAAGTTTCGAATTGCCATGAATTACCAGACAAATACTAGAGAGTTCAACAAAACTTGAAGCTAACAAAAAAGAACTGTAATTATGTTATAGGCTTCAGAATATGGAGAGCTCAATTTCAAAGTTACTCTCTTTAGAAAAAAAAAAAAAAAAAAAACATGATCACTGAAAGTGCAACAGGGTAGCAAAACCTTGTCATATTATGCACATCCAACTCTATATAGCAATATTGAAAACCCAGAAAAGTCATTATCAAATGTGGCCATTTCAACTCCTATGTTCATAATACATTATACTTAGCACCAAGGCAAAGTCATGTAGTAATCATGTTGAGACAAAAGAGAGTTTTCACAGTAAGCATGCATCACAATCATGATTGTAAAAACAGAAAAAAAAAAACTAAAACTGCTCAAAGGTCAAAACAAACTCAATCAATTTTTAATTGATAGTCACATGTCACCATTTAGTATCTTACCTCCCTACCGGATCATCAAATATCTGTTCAAGATTGATTGTGAGAAGTAATATTTACACTTCTTCAAATTAATGTCATTGCACTGACCTTACGTTGGTAGCAACAATAAAGATTTTAGACACCTCAACTGATGAGATGCAGTAGAAAAAAGAAAAACAAAAAATTATTAAACCGAGAATAAAATTCCAATCACAACATTTAACTGGAAAAACAGGACAACAACAAAAGTTTAGCAACATCACCATATTCAATAAGGAATAAAATACACACAACAAAGTCATTACCTATACAATTCTCAAAAGCAAGGCAATGGTGGTTGAAGCTTGCAACATGCTTCTGGCAGTGTTTGCAGTACCTTACCCTTCTCAAGACCTCAAAGCCCTGAAATGCATCACATAGTTGCCAATTAACTATTAAAATGAGAGGGCATAAGTTCAGCACATAACTTTGGGAGAATTTATCACTACCTTCACTCAATAATCCTTGCACAAATCATGTTGTTTGCATTACATATACATATATTGAAGACAAATGGTGACCAAAAATTACATCAATGAAAAACCAAGTGTTAAAAGATAGCTTTGTTAATGTTGTCTGGTCTTAAATATTTTGCATGTTTTATACTAATTCAATTGTGGAATTATGTTCACATTCTAGGTCAAAAAAAATATATATAAAAATTCTCCTATTATTAGTTGCCCATATGAAACTACTCCACATTCCATATGCATTGAAAAATAGTAAAAATCAGTTATAGTAATTTAGGAATGATTCTTGTATAACCCCCACCCCCATAGTGATGATACCATTAGCTTATCCTTCCATAGTTTACTAAGACCTAAACTCATTCTTCCAAGACAACATAAACCCAAATGATTCTTTCAGAACATTTTTGAAATGTTACTTTCTGAAAACCTGTTTCTTCCCTTTTGATTTCTTGGTGTGAAGCATAATCAAAATTGAGAGCATAGCTGTAGGGATCATACTGAATTTTGCAGTGATGTTTGTTTTTTTTCCTTACTGCCATCTTCATTGCTGCTCTTATTATCCAACATTATTCCTTCCCCACATTCTGTATCCATTCTAGGCTCTCTGCTAACCCCATGAATATAGACACTTTGAATATATATATATAGTTGAGTGCAAGTGTAGAACCACCAAGAATGACTCCTCTTTATCTATGGAGAAAATACGACTATACGAGACCTTTAGAATAACATGAACTTTGCAATGAGATATGGATTTTCTTGGATATATACAATGGTACTCATCCTTGACTGCATAATCGAACAACTGACCGGTGTAGGCAGATTATCAGCATGGTGATCTCTATGTTGAATACAATGTCCACAAAAGATGAAATAACTAGAACACAAATAATAGAGATAATCGAATGAAAGCACAAATATAGAGCAACAACAACATCTTTCATTTGGAATTAACATTAAAAGAAGACTATAAAACTATGTCATTCAATTAACAAAACAATGGAAGATAAAACAACAATGATTGCACCGAACAACAAATTCAGCGTCACAACCCCTCCAAATCAACCCTATATAAAGCCGTCACAATTCACCAATATATCAATTAGAATTACCAAAAATGGAGGCATCGCTTAAGTACCTGCTCGTCCTGTAATGCCTCGCCATCCTTGGCATCAATAGCGGTTATGGAGGCGGCGAGTGCCCTAGATCAACGCCCGACGTGGAAGCGATGAAGCTGTACCCATGTACCTCTGCCGCGCAAGAAAAGAACGTGGCTATTTTCCAGGACTACTGCGCTCAAGTGGAAATCGAATCGTGCAGGTGAGGTTTGCTACTTCCGGTCGTTTTTGTGCTGTCTCGAAGCTGCGATGGCAGGGAGATGATCGACGAGCTTCGCCAGTTTCATTTGGGGAATTGGAAATGGTTGGATCTTGGAAGTAGCTGTATGCGTTTGAAGTGTTTGTGCGGGTGAGTAATTAATTAATAATAACATTAATAATGATTAATTAATTAATAATATTATTAAATTTAGAAAAATCTACAACTGATTTAATATTTGCTATTTTCTTCCAATTTTGAAACAGACTAAAAGATTCCTCTTAAAATTTTTTGAACTCTGCAACTGATTTAATATGTTATTATTTTCGTCATAAATTTTATAAATAATTTTTGAATATCTGCAACACAAATAGTCTGTTGTTATTTCAGTAGCAATTTTGCAATGGAATTTAATATTCCTAGTATAATTCCTATAAGTTTTGTGACAAATCTATTCTCTTGCAATATTTGTTCACAATACGTCTCAATTGGGACTATCTCCTATTTGCTTAGCAAATTCCATTGGACTTTTACAATAGATTGTATTCCGTAGTAATATTCCATCGCAATTTATGATTTTTTTTGTAGTGTTGTTAAATTGAATTAGGTTCTTCTAGTTTGCAATGCGGTTAGGCTATTAAAATTTTTGTTCCGTCACTAGGGTTCTAGTCTAATTAGGGAAACAACTAACGGACATATCTTGACTGTGGAATCTGCAAAAGTCAAGAACATCTGGCTAATATCTGTCCTACCTTGACTCAGGAAGTAGATATCAATGCTACAAGATTCATTCCGAGAACATACAACCCCTACTCGAACACTTACAATCCAGGATGGAGAGATCACCCGAACTTGAAGTATGGAAATCAACAAGCCAACTTTGGAGATCATTCACAAGGATTTCTATCACCTCACCACCCTCCACAGCCCTCTCAAACGGCTTTGAGTAATTCTTTAGAGAATATGATGAGAACTATGGCATCAAACATGTTGAAATTTCAACAGGAAACTCGGAATAGAATAAGGAGCTTGGAAGAACAAGTAAGTCAAATAGCGAATGAGATGCGCGAGATGAAGTCAAGAGAAAAAGGTAAATTGCCCTCACAACCCGATGCTAATCCGAGGAATGTGAGCTTGAGTGTTATACAGAGTGACGAAGATTTAGAAGCATCAAAGTTGAAGTTTCAAAAGACAAGAAGGAGGATGATATTGAGAAAGAAACAGAAAAAGTCGCCAATGAAACATCGGATAAGGTAACTTTCAATACACTTACTCATACTAAAACTAATGTTACACCATTTCCTTGCAGGGTAGCAAAACCAAAGAAGAATGACAAAAATAAGGAGATGATGAAGATGTTTCGAAACGTGGAATTGAACATACCTCTATTGGATGCGATCAAGCAAGTGCCAAAGTATGAGAATTTTTTTAAGGATAGTTGTGCGAACAAGAAGAGATTACGAGGAGATGAATGCATAATCGTTGGAGAGAGTGTATCTGTTGTTTTACAACGTAAGCTTCCTCCTAAATGTTGTGATCCAGGTATGTTCTCGGTCCATTGTAAGATAGGTAAGTGGAGATTAAGTGAACAATGTTAGATCTAGGTGCTCTAATTAATGTGATGCTTAAGTCTATTTATAAGTCTTTAAATATTGGACCTTTAAAAGAAACTGAAATTATTATACAATTAGCCGATAAGAAAAAATGCTTATCCTGAAGGAATGATTGAAGATGTCCTAGTGTGAGTTAACAAATTAATTTTTCTAGTTGATTTTTATGTACTTGATATGCATGATGATAATTCTCCAAACCCTGCACCGATTTCACTTGGTAGGCCATTTATGTGCACCGCACAAACTAAAATTGATGTGAAACTAGATATACATTCTATGGAATTTGACGGTGAGAAAGTATTTCCAATTTTATGAAATACCTTGAAAAATCTAGCACTTTGTGTAGTGTGAATGTTATCGACAAAAATATGATGGGAGATTTGAGATTGAACGATAAATCTATTTTAGACATAAAATCGAAGCCCCCTCCGAATCAGTTGGAGCCTCGTCAATTTAATGATGATATGAGTCAAGCATAAATTTTTTTTGTGAGAAATTATCATTTTAAACATGAAAGGAAAAGATGAAAACTGGGGTGGGTAAGACGGTCCGAGGTGCCACTCACTGGCTAACATGGAAACTACGTCTAGTCAAATACACTTCTTGAGAGGCAACCCATGTTTTCTAACTTTATTTTTACAATTTTTGTTTTACTTTTAATCATCGCTTATGTGTGATTTGTTTTTTTTAAAGAAAAGTTCTTGAAGAATTTTGGAAAAAAAAAGAAAAAAAAAATCCAAATTAAAAGGTGTCATTTAGTCATGCCCATGACTAAGACACCCTATCACACTATCCCATTCCTTCCTTAAAACCCAATTTTAATTTAAACCCTAAAATAAATCATTCCTAGACCCAAAACCGGTTCAATTTCTTTTTCCTCCTCTGCGCCGCCTCTTCTTCCTCCTCCCAACCGGTAGGGGTGGGCAAAAAAATCGAATCGAACCGTAAAACCGCTGAACCGAATCAAATTTTCAGTTGACCGAGCAAATTCGGTTCGAATGCAAATACTGCATATTTGATATTTGTTCGGTTCGGTTCGGTTTCGATTTTTCATATTTTTTTCAGTTCGGTTAACCAAACCGAATATATTAATATATTGATATTATTATATTTTAAAATTTATATTAATAATTATATTTGGTTCAGTTTCGGTTCGGTTTCGGTTCGAATATTTGAAATATTTGCAAATATTTTTTATTTAATTAGAATTTTAATTATTTTTTTTTATATTTTTTCTTAATTTTAGTTCGGTTCGAGTTATTTGCAAATACGACAAATATTTTCGGTTAACCGCCGAACCGCCTTCTCCTTCTTCCTCCCTGCTCAGCTGATCCCGCTGCCGTGAGCCATGGATTTTGGTATTGGATATTCTTCTCATCCCTTATTCCTAATTCTTTCAATTGATATATTAGGATAGTTTGCATTGAATTATTGCAATTGATTTTGGTAGTGCAAATTAAAATCATCGAATTGGATAAATTATCCTGGCTCATTGAATTGATATTCTAGAGAAAGTGACTTCGAATTTGTTGCTCTCGGGTGGGTAGGAATTTTGAGTGAATTTTGTGTCGATCTTCTTTGATAGCCATATTGAAGTGTTCGGCGTCTAATGACTTGGATTTGAACTTAATGTTGGATTTGGGATCAAATATGTGTATCGAATATGTTGTTAAAGTCATTATTTTATTCAGTCTTATTATTTAAGTGATCTAATTAATATAATTAATTATTGACTGATAGGTTTGATTGTTATGGAATGAAAGTGCAGCTACCCGTATAATATTATTATTTTGGTGACGTGACAAATTAATAATATTAATTAAGGGCATAATTGTAATTGCAATTATGTTTGCCCTATTATAAATAGGCTAGGGTTAGGTCCCCATGATCAGCACGCCGTAAAAGAGATCTGATTCTCCCTGCAGTTTCTGCTCCTCACCCGTCAAGGACAGAATAGAAGCCGGCTCTCTGATCTTGGAAGACCAAACCTTTAATCACCCAAGATTTGTATATGGCTTCATCAGGTACGCTTCCGCTTTAAGGATCGGGCATCTAATATTCAACAATTGGTATCAGAGCCATGTTGCCCGTATTTGGTATTGATTCTGTATGGATTTTCGATATTACCATCTCGAGGGGGGTGTCAAGTATTCCACATTGGATGTAATGTTAGGATTCCCCTACTTTATAAGGGGTAAAGGGCTACTCCACTTACAACAAATTGGTTTTAATTATTGGAAATACATAAAAGGCATGCTGTGTGTGCATACGTGTTTATGTCTATATATTCACATGGTTATGAGTCTTGAAAGTACAAATATTTATTTAATTATTAATTTTCATATTTAGCATGTTATAAAGACTTGCAATTTGGCAACATGTGTATATATAATATGATGTATGTGTGCATACGTGTTCAAACACAATTAATCATGCAATCTTGATTAGACATCTCGGTTATTTATTTAATTTTATTTTGTGGAATAGAATATATTGAAAGCATGTATGTATATATATTGTAATGTTTCCTCAGAATATGCCTCCGTACATGCATGTCTGGACATTCATTAATTCATTTATTTATTGATTTATTTATGCATTGAATACATGTCATGAATTCATGTTTATTTGTTTATAAATATATCATCAATATTTTGGAATATATTATTTATGAAATTGATGTATGCATCTTCAGAAATTAATTTTGCTTATATTGCAAATATTTCAATCTTCAGAATTGGAAACTCATTAATAATGCTTGCTGCGTTTTGACGGTGAAAATCTAGTATTTGAAGTTGCCAAAGTAACCTCTCTTATATGAAATTTTTTCTTGATAACGTAAGTGTTTATATGTTTATTTTAATTCATGTGATTATTCTTCGGCCCAAAGGCAGTCGATAATTGACAGAATGAAATATACATCTGCGATAATATGTATGGGACAATTATATAGATTTAACTTATGTGAATAGTAAATCAGTCCAAAGATTGGTTACTGTTTGACATTACCTTATTGTCCGTATATGATTATTGCAATAAGATGACTGCTTGCAGTTAATGGCATTGATCCAAAGATTAAACATTAATGTTGCGTTTAGTGTCTTGAGATGGGATTGCATTATTTTATTTTGAGTTTCATTATGCTACTTGAGTACTTATGTGTATATTGATTTCTTGTTATCTTCAGGATCGAATCTTATGGTATCTTCTAACTATTCAGTCCCAATACTGTCTGGGGACAACTATCAGCACTGGAAAGAATCAATATTGATTCATTTGGGTTGTATGGATCTAGACTTGGCATTAAGGATAGACCAACCCCCTTCTCCTACGGAAGAAAGCACTGCAGATGAAAAGCAGTTGTTTGAGAAGTGGGATAGGTCTAATCGCCTTAGTCTAATGATCATAAAGAAAAGCATTCCAGAAATCTTTAGGGGCACGATATCTGATGATATCATTACTGCTAATGATTTCCTTGTCGAGATTGAGAAACGCTTTACCAAAA